CAGCCCAAGCGCTATATCACTGCGGCGTGCAACCCGACCCAATCATATAAGTAGCCATAAGGCTCGTTGCGGCTTGCAACCCGATCCATATACCCTCACAGAGCTCACAGCTCGACACTCAAGCCATATCTCAGTCGCTAACCTCTCCAGCCCCTCGGGCTCACAGAATATCATAATAATCGGCCCAAACAGAGAATACAACAAGTCTCAACAAGAAATGAGAGGGAATAGAGATATAACACACAAGTAAGACTGTGACTGAGTACAAGAATACAATTAGCAGTCAATTCAATAAGTATACAACCGCTGCAGGTCCCAACAGTGATGTCATATGGTTTAAGCATGGTTTCTAACATGAAAGGCAGTCAATTGCTCAAAGACAAAGAAAAACAAGTAATAGCAATGGCTATTCGATTTTACAGTCTCACGGGACGAACCAAGTCACAATCCCTCACGGTGCATGCTCACATGCCCGTCACCTAGCATGTGCGTCACCTCCAAACTCTCAAATCATACCAATCCTCGTGATTTCATACCCTCAAAACCAGATTTAAAACTGTTACTTATCTCAACCGCGCAGAAATCCTACTCCACAATGCCCCTCACCCCTCGAATCAATCTCTAAACGCCCCGAATCTAGCCACAAGCAGTACAATATAATTAATGTAGGCTAAAAGAATCAATTCCACAATAGAAACACGAAATTATAAGTAAAAATCCGAAATAGACTCAAACTGGCTTTCGGGCCCACGTCTCGAAATCCGACAAAAATCATAAAATATGAACACCCATCCACTCATGAGTCCAACCATATAATTATTACTCGAATCAAACCTCAAATCACCTTCCAAAACTCAAAATTTTAGCCTATGAAGTTTCTACCATTTTCCCCCAAATTTACATCTCAAATCCCTAATTAGATGATGGAGAAAGATATAGATTCACGAAATTTAGACCAATCCGGGTTGGAATTATTTACCCCAACGATTTCCTTGAAAATCCTCAAAAATTCGCCTCTCTCCCGAGCTTCACAAGTCCAAAAATCGAAAATGAAAGTTCAACCCTCGGGCTGGTGTTTTTCTGCCTAGAAATACCGCACATGCGGTCCTCTTGTCGCTTCTGCAACGCCGAAACTGCGGAATTCCATCACAGGCGCGAATTTCACTTAAAAATCCTGGCCTCGCTCCTGCGGCCCCAAAACTGCAGTTGCGCCTATCGCAGATGCGGGAATTCATTGCATCTACGCCCAGCTGCCCGCATCTACGACTCTCGCAGGTGCGGGAAAATTCTTCGCACCTGCGGCTCGTGCCCAACTCCTTCTTGGCCGCATCTACAGCTCCTTCTTCGCTTCTGTATACTTGTAAGCACGTAATTTTTGATCCGCCACGTTTTTCGAGCTATTTTTAGTGCTTAAAATATTTATTTAACTTAACTTTAGTTTTTATGGAGTTTTAGTCAATTTTTACTTCAAATTACAATTTAAAAGCACAAAAATATTTTTCATTTTTAGTTTAAGGTCAATTAGTATTTTAATTTTACCATGGTTTTAGCCTGTTTTCTCTACTTTTTACTTTATTATAACATCTGAAAATACAAAAAATAGTTTCACTTTTAATATTTAATTTTATTTTAGTAGTTTATTAATTAAGAGTGATTTTTATATTTTATATTATTTTAGTCTTCTTAGCCCAAATTTAAACCCAACAAGACATGGAACCATTCCAATTTTCCTAAATCCAAGCCCAAATCCCTCAACCTTAAAAAACCTGCGTCCCCTCATTCTTAAAGATGAGCTACACACAGACGAAAAAAAAAGGAGGAGAGGGAGTGGTTGCGCTTTTTTTTCTTCTGGATTCGACGCACAGAGCACAACTTTTCTTCCTCCATAAATGACCCAAAAAAAAAATCCCAGCTCAAACCTAGCAGAAATTCAACCCCCAAAAAACGCATCTGCCCCTTTTCCATAACCACGCTTTCTCGAAATTTTCTGGACAAAAGATCTCTTCAAGTTTTCCGGCGCCGTTCGAGTGTTGTTACTGGTTCGCGGTTCTGTCCGAATTCAATAGTCGATTCTCGTCCGCATTTTGGAGTCGAAAACAGTGTATCCGTTTGGTTCTGCAACTGCTATTAAGGAAATTTTGTCCTAACAGGTTCATCTCTATGACTATCATCTCTATATTAATCTTATCTTTATATAAGCTTTGGAAGAGCTGTTAACGATGGGTAAGATCTCGAGAGTATAAGTTGTTTAAGTAAAAAGTTGATATCTACAAACTTGTTCATCCGAAATAAAAAAAATCGAGTAATGTTTTCTTAATTTGTTGCTCAATCTCGCTTAGTGAAATGCTCACATAGTGAATCTTCTGACAGCGCATTAACTTTTAACTTGGAAGTGGCTTTATTCCCTAGATAGTAATTTTTGGATTTTGGCTATTATTTCTTTTGTATTTTTAATATTGTTTTAGCTTGGATCTTAAGAGATGAATATGGTAGAATTTTTACTGTTTTAAGATTTATGCACTATTGTTTGGGTTTAATTAATCAAGCACTTGGAAGAATTTAACACTATTTGAGCTAAGGTCATATTTCATGTTTTTTCCTCTTTCAGCATTAAAATAATGTACTGATTTGAATGAGTTGAGTACCCAAATGAAATTCCCAGCATGCGATTTCTACTTCACTTTAGTTATTGAGTGTTCTTTCCATTGTGATTGATCAAAGAAGATTTTTGTTAGCTTTTTTTTTTTTAATTCTGTCATTTCCATGTTATATGCATTTTGAAGAACTATTTCTTCGGTTGAATTCTAGCAGACGTGTTTCTTTTAGAATGAATGAACTAACATAATATTCATGTGAATAGGGTCTTGAATTCTCTGTTCGTGTTAGTGCTGAATTGAGCGAGGAGGAGCAATTTAGGAAAAAAAAAGTGTGTGTTAGAAAGTAGGTAAATAACTCGGTCATAATTTTAGCTCCAAGGATGGAACGCAATTGAAAGCACAAATTGATCGGGTGGGGTAGTATCTTTAAGGGCTCTTCCGATAACTTTGATCTTTTACCTTTCTTAGCACCTGTATTCTTTAAGTGATTGAATGTGTGCTTATCTAGATTTATCCTGTATTTTCGCCATTTGTATGTAGAATGTGAATTGCTTGTTGGTTTGTGGGAGTTGGGAAAGACTTAGCCCATTAGTAATCAAATATTTTTGGCATGTTTTAGGAATTGGGCTCGGTCCAAACACATGAAAAATGAAAAGTCAAAAGAATTTTAGCATGATTTAGAAATTTTCTTTTATTTAGTTCTTTTATTTATTTATTTATTTATTTGTTTGTTTTGTTATATCATTCGCTAGGAGCAATGCTTTAGGCGCGCACTTAATCGACTGTCATAATTGTGTACACGTTTGCATGATATGACTATGACTCCCCAAAATAAATCAAAGTACGCGTTCGCGCGACTTTGGCCAAACAATCCTGATAATTAATAAAGCGCGATTAATTGTGTACACGTACGCATGACATGATTTTAACGCGCCAAATAAAATAGAGTTACGCACATGTGACTCGTTTCAAAGATAAATCCATAAAAAGCGATAATTAAAAGCGGATAGGTAAAACATGGAGATCCATTAAAATACAGTTTGCTCAAAAAAAATAATATAAGTCAAATATAGTTAATAAAGCGACCGTGCTAGAACCACGGGACTCGGGGAATGCCTTACACCTTCTCCCCGATCAATAGAATTTCTTGCCCGAACTTTATTTTCGCAGACCAATAATAACAGAGTCAAACCTTCCTTGACTAGGGATTCAAATAAAAGGTGACTTAGAACACCCAAAAACTCAATTCCAAGTGGCAACTCAGTAAATAAAATAGTCCCTACTCAAGTTTGTCACTTTAATTTGAAAAACTTTTTAACCTACAACAATCCATAACACATTATCTTTTTTGGGGGTAGAAAAGGGGTGTGACAGTACTCACACATGTGGTTTCCATTCCGCAAGTGCGGTTACACCAGTAGCAGCAGTTTTAGCTGCATTTCCTTAACTCTCATCAAGCCGTTAACCACCCGAAATCACCCCGAGGCCTCTGGGACCTCAACCGATCATACCAACAAGTCATGAAACCCCATGCGTACTTAGTTGAACCTTCGAATCCCTCAAGCCAACATCAAAACACCAATTACACCCAGATTCAAGTCTAAAGAACTTCTAAACTTTCAACTTCCACAAACGACACCGAAACCTATCAAACCACGTCTGATTGACCTCATATTTTACACACAAGTCAAAAATAACACCACTAACCTATTCCATCTTCCGGAAATCCAATCAGACCCCGATATTAAAATTTCCAATGCCGGCCAAAATCGCCAAAGTTCCAACTTTCGCCAATTCAAGCCTAATTCTACTAAGGACCTCCAAATCACATTCCGGCCGCGCTTCTAAGTCCAAAATCACCTAACGGAGCTAACGGAACCAAAAAAATTCAAATCCGAGGTCGTTTTCCCACAAGTCGACATCCGGTCGACTTTTCCAACTTAAG